ACTGATGATGTATGGAGGGGATTGTAATCAATGTAATGAAACAAGTAATGTGAATGGTTGAATGTGAAACTGATGATGTACCCTGTAAACTTTCACTCAATCCACAATAAAAACCTTAAAAAAGAAAGAAATATTGTGCAACCATCAAAAAAAAAAAAAAAAAACAGCATAGTTGGCCATCATCTTTGAGCTTTTTCTCAAGTTTGTTGTTTTTGACTGCTTATCAAGAAATTAGTTTGGAAAAAAAAAAAAGAAAAAGAAATTTGTTTGCTATGCAGTGTATTCACTGCCATTCATTTCTAAGAGGGAAATTTAGTCTCTAGTCAGACTTCAACCCATTGTTTTTCCTATTCCAATTAGTGTTCCAGTTACTCACATTATAAAAATTCAGTTCCCTTTAGACACGGAGAGGGAGAGGGGCTGTGTGTTGACGACCAGGAGGTGGGGCAGGCTTATAGGGTATACCCTTTGGTTGGGTGATGATGCATGGAGGGGATTATAACCATGGCAATGAAACGATATACGATAGACTGAATGTAAAACTAATGTTCTCCCATGTAAACTATCACATAATTTACAATAAAACATTTAAAAAAAAAAAAAAAATTCAGGTCCCTTGTGGTGTTGCTACCTCAGCCCTGATGGATCAAGATTGAACATGTTTGATGCCCTGGTCTAGAAGCTCCACTCCAAAACCTGTTCAGCATCTTAGCAACACTCAAATTTCCTCTGACCATTGGACAAGGGGGGTAGCCCTGCATGAGGGAAATTGGCCAGGAATAGAACCAAGGTCTTTCACATGTAAGATGAGAATTCTACCATTGAACCCACCACTGCCTCCATTATCATTATCAGAACCTGAGTCTAACTGTTAATTCCTTTGGAGAAACTTATTTACTGGCACCGTTCCTCAGGAAATGGAGCCAGCTCTGTTAGGGAAGACTACAAGATGTGTTTGCTGCAATTGGGGGCTGGTGATCATGGCTGCCCTTTGAATGCTCCCTTTATCTCCTTGATATGCTCTGCTGGAGTCCCG